AGAGAGAGAGAGAGAGAGAGAGAGAGAGAGAGAGAGAGAGAGAGAGAGAGAGAGAGAGCTGTAAAATAGTGCTCCTTACCTGCCCAGAACGGTGGAAGACCACAGAGAAGAATGTAGAGGATGACACCTGCACTCCATATGTCTGCCTCGGGCCCATAATTCTTCTTCAGCACCTCAGGAGCAATATAGAAAGGACTCCCAACAATGTCTCGAAATTGCTCACCTGTAAATGGATGAGAGAAGATGACGTAAATGATAGCAAATATTCAAAACAAAGGGATGATAACACAATAGGTGCAAAAGCCCCAAAATCATACAAATAATTTGTTAACAACAAATTAGCGACAAGACATAATAGTTGACGGACAAAACACATCGTACATGACTCGCTGGAGATATATTAGTATCAGCCTGCAGAATGGCACGATAATTGGAGTCGTTTGGCGTCTGATACGAATGGCATGCGGTGCTGTTCCTCAGCCAAGCCAGCTCCATCATCTCGGGGGCACTATCAGATACGAATGGGATCACAACCTACGACATCAAGCAGGAGATCACACATAGAGGAGTCACCCTTCTCTCTCTCTCTCTCTCTCTCTCTCTCTCTCTCTCTCTCTCTCTCTCTTTTTCTCTCTTTCTCACACAGATATTCCTCTCCACTTGGTAAAGAAGAAAGATTGGGCCTTGCTCCGCCACTCACCAAATGTGAAAAATGAAAATGAATCTTTTGTTAGAACATGGAAAGATGCACCACTGCCACCGCCATAATTTTTGTCTTTCGCAATTCAGCACACTATCCCATGATCCCGAATGTTTTCTCCAAATGTAAGGGACGCTGGACCCGGTTTCCAGCAGGTGCTGCTCCCCACCAATAGATGGAGCCTGCCAGGGGTGCTAGCGGGGACTGTTGAAACCAGCACCAATAGCATCACCCGGGCTGTGTTAAAAAAAAAAAAAAAAAAAAAAAGAGACTGGTGGAGTGAGGCTGAGAAGAAGGAAAAGTGGACGGGACAGAGGCGTCATCCAACTCTCTCAGATAGTTCCTCTTGACTTGGGCAAGAGGCTCACAGTTCCCGTCCTCCACAAGTCTGAGAGTAAAACATAATAGTTCCTCTTGACTTGGGCAAGAGGCTCACAGCTCCCGTCCTCCACAAGTCTGAGAGTAAAACATTAGTCGTTATCACCGTATCTAGACTGAAAGTTGCCCCAAATACGACTATAATACCCGTACATTTTCTATTCAGGTGAAGGTGGTACCATTGATTCATTCATTAAAACTTCACCCTACAGATACATTTTCTATTCAGGTGAAGGTGGTAGCATTAGTGTATTAAAACTTCACCCTACAGATAGCCCCCATGGTTGATTAGCTAGCCGAAGACCCCCTTGAGAAAGTACTTAGCTTAACCCATGGCCCATGGGCATTGATCAGTCAGGCAGTTTCACGAATAGCACGGGGCCATTTGAAAAGGAAACATACTTCTGAATCACAGTTTCAATTTTCAAATGTTTCTCAGTAGCCCTAATTAGTCATGTACTATGTACCTACACTGTTTGTCCAGGCGCCCGGGTGCCAGGGCACCCAACTGGGCATGAACCCTGGGCAGGGTTCTGGGCAGCCCCAGCACCCAAAAAAAAAGGGGGGGGAGAAATCTAAGAACTCCAGAAAAGAAAAAGTGGTGTAGAACACTAGAATTGCGAAGTAGCCTAGCTATGTGCACAATTTTTATTTTTGTTCTTTTTTTTAAATTGGGTACTGAAATTAAGCTTGGCCACATCTGCGAATTAATTCCAAGTCCCCTCACCCCCACCCCCACCTCCACCTTCCCTTAAAACCAAAAAAAAGAAAGAACCTCGCGGTATGGTGTTCTATTCCTGTAGCCCGTAGAAAAGAGAAACCTTCGTTGGCCAGTAGTTCAGTTGATTTCCAAACTCAATTCTATGCAACTAGGCAAAAATAGTTTATCCTCAATCAGTCGAATCAGTCGATACATAATTGCTCCGACGACTCCATTCTTTAGAAGCAAATATAATTAGTTAACCTTCAGTCTTCGAGCAGATAAATAGTTTATCCGATTTCCGCATGTCATCCTTGTGCAGGGGCCATGCAAATCTTCTCTGCGTTGTTCTAATTTTAAATAGTTAATCCGATAACAACTTCCGAACCAAAAATATAAACAGTTCGTCTTCCATCTTGGAGCCGATATAATACTCGGACAACTTCTTAGACAGCCAAGTAGAGCCGAGAAAAGCTTAAACCACCAGTACTTGGCCAACACATCGGCCGCGGGTCGTTGCCGTTAACGCTACGCAAAGTTCGGGCTTCGGGGTACCGGACCTCAATGGCTGGAAGCGCCCGCCAAAAAAAATTGAGACGGTACCCTGGCGCTTCGGCAAAAATTGGCACACAGGGGGATTCTAGGCTCGGCAACGATAGCTGGGCCAAGTACTGGTGGTTTAACTATAGAGTTGAAACCTAGGCTACCAGAGTGGCCCGGGTCCACTTGCCTGGCTGGGCCAAAAAGAAAATAAGAAAATAAGAAAATAAAAATTACTTTTTAATTAAAATTTTTATTTTAAATTTTGTAAAGAATCTCGATGTGACCCTGAGGCAAAAGTTGTTCAGTTTATTTTTCTGCATAACATACTTTTTTTTTTTTTGAAGAAGGGGGAGGGGGGGTGGTTGGCTGGGACCTTCCCTAGTCCTTGCACGGCCGGGCCGCCCGGGAAAATAGGGTGACCCGGGCGGCCCAGCTGGTAGCCTAGGTTGAAACCAAATATAAACATTGCGTCTTCCGTCCTGGAGCCGATATAGGGCCTTGCTCCAGTGGTCACCAAACTCGATTTCCCCGTGGATGAGTACTACTCTCACCAAAATGCGGCCTCGCTCCACCATTCACCACACTTCTTCACTCACCACACCACAAGACAAGGCAGGGGCTGGTTGAGACTTCTCCCGCCCTTGTCTTGTAGTGTCGTGAGCTCACCACTTTTGGTGAGAACGTGAGAGGTTCCACCACAACCCACTTACCACGGTAAAACAGAAATTCTTCTGGTACTCGCACCGTGGTGAGTGGTGGAACAGTGAGGCCACTCACCGAAACAGCAGTGTGGTGAGTGGTGGGGCGAGACCCATAGCGTTAAACCACCAGCACCTTTCCCAGCTATTTTGATGAGATGCTCCAGGTAACGCGGGGGGGGGTTGAACGGGGAGGCCACCGTTGATAAATCGAATCGGTGGCCCGTTTTTTGTTTCGGGCTTCGGAAACTGCCCACGACCGACATATGGGAAAGGTACTGGCGGTTCAATCCTCGGACAACTTCTTCGGACGCCAAGTAGAGCCGAGTAAAGCTTAACTACTCCGGCTGCGGATTATTTATCTATATGTAATGACCCGTCAAAACACAGACTGAGAACACTGCTGATTTCTGAAGTTCTACCGATGGAATGGATGCCTTGCTGAGATTCCCGGATTCTGCTGTGTTTTCTAAGTCTGTCTGTGTGTGTGTGCTTGTGACCTGCGTACCTGTCTGAGTGCTTGTCGGTATGGGTGTGTGTGTGACCCGCAAGGGTACTTGYTTGTTTGGCAGGCCCGTAGGGCCGGTACTTACCTGTGGCCGTGGCATTGAGGGTTGTAGCAGGGAAAAACACTCAAGTGGCGAAGCTAGCGGCCCCGCGGCCCTTGGGGTAGCGGAAAAACACTCAGGTGGGCCGGTAGGCCGATACTGCACCCCACTGCAGTTGGCGTAAGGGGGTACTGGAGGCCGAGCAGAAAAAGACAAAGTTGGCATTTTTAGAGTCCAGTAGCGGTAGGGTAGGTCTAGGCCGGTACCAGTCCAACCAGTCTGAGTCTCGAGCCTGTACGGGTAATATCAGGGTCTGCAATGATGTTTCCCTCCGAAACGGAGGAAGTACCAGTTGCTTGGAGAGGCCGAGCGGCCTGGAAGTCACCGCCCAGGAGGCAAGTAGGCCGCTATATCAAGAGGCCGGGCGGAGAGCCCAGCCTCATTCTTCAGTGTGCAAGTTTGGCGACACGCCGCTGGAGCGCTGGCTGGTGTAGCTACAGCGCTGCTGGGAGGAAGAAGCCGGGAGCTTCCACCTTGGCTATGGTGGAGCTCTACCGGTAGGAGGAGGAGGGAGAAGGGGACCAAGGAGGAGAGTGGCGAGGCACTTACTGGCTATGGTAGACACCATCTTCATCTCCTTGCTAGGCGCTGCATCAGGAAGGCCCCAGTGGGGGTAGTGCCGCATCACAGAGTGAGGCATGGTGGCTGAGTGAGCAGCGGCATAGCTGCATGGTGATGACCTTGAAGTGGGGCAGCGGCATAGCTGCTTTGGGTTGTCCTTTGGACGGG